AAAAGCGGAGTTTACCCCCTGTAAGGGACTATAGCAAAAGATGGGGTGACATAACCTATTTTTTAAATCAATGATTCTTTAAGTAATTCCAGAATCGCTATACGTTTTGAAATTTCTATATTAAATGCTCGCAATATTATATATCTCAAAGAATTGCCTCAAAAAAGTTGGGCCTTTGAGTTATAACAAAAAGTGAACCGACAAAAAAAACTGTTCTGCAAAAAAATCTTCTTTGTCAAAAGCCGAATATGAAACAATTCCGTGGAAATGTTTACTTTAGTCATAAAAATATCTGGTGCTACCGCTTTACTGGGGGCTATTGGAAATCCTGGATCTATATAGGCAATGTACAGTCATTATAAATACCGAATTTAAAAAAAAAAACGGGGAAAATGTTACTTAAAACATCAAAATACTGAATATCCGGAGGTGCTATACTTCATAGGAGGTAGAACTTATAAAAATTCTAAATCAAGAATAAAAAATCCATAAGAAAATGAGGCTTACATTTTCCAAACATTAATTACTAAGAGGTACCATTTAAATCGATTTAGACTTAGAATATATGGTATATGGTTTGTAGATAAGGTACCAGAGGGATTGCTCTGCTATATCTCATCTTCACACAAGATGGGTTGGTACAAATATTTAAATGTGCCGAGTTTGAAACGAATCGGACTGATGATCTTTTCTCTTTCTCTGAGGTAAATTATTTATCTTTGAAATTTTTGGCATTTCCTTCGGATACTACCTTCGAGATTTATCGTGCTTACCAGCCAGACAGACGGACAAAACCCGGTCTACTACAAATGTCCTGAAACTCATTTCGTCGGACTATAGTTTTGGTCTTAAAACTGATTTTTTCGATGAAGTATAGATGCCGTATGGTCATATGGCTGAGGCCGTATGGTCATTTTGCTGAGGGTAAATTATTCTTTAACCAGGTCCTATCAGGTCCTTTTGATCTATATCAGGTCCTCTTGCTAAATTTTAGATATTTTAAATTTTCTTTTGCATAAATTTAGCACTTTTCTGGGATATGTACCAGAAAGAGATGACGATATTTTCCATTTCCACACTTGCGGATGCGGTAAATTATACGAAAATACATAGATTCCGTATTTTACAAGACTTATAATTATTGAAAACGGTCTATAATTACTCATCGCTTTCCAAGAATAAATTTGTTTACCAACCATTGTTTTTACACGTGGTGGCATATCTGTTGCAGGCTCCTTTCACACTCCATTCATTATCCTTTTTTTTGGCCTTGGGAAATCATATTCAATTGTTTTTTTTTTGTCAGCAGCTCAAGACACCAGTTATTTTTTTTATAAATTAAGAACAAAACACAATTCTGGTGTCTGTTGTTTGGAAGACAACAACTAAAACAATGGCCGATGAACTTGAGGGGTATGCAAGGAGGGGAAAATGAAAACGAAATCTTCAACAACAATAACGCGGTGGAATGCAGGTCAAGGCAGAAGGTCCATGTTGTAATGTCATGATATTGTGACGGCTGTTGGAAAAAAGATAACAAATAGTTGTGTTTTTTGAATTCAAATTCATCTCAGCCAGCCAGCCACATTTGGGCACATTTTGTGGTTCAGGTTCATTCTAAAGCAACACTGTGATTGCAGAAATGTGGGCCAAGGTATAGCAGCTGTTCCGTAGGCTTGGCAAATCAAAATGACATATTGTCTTGAAGTTCTTCAACGTCATGGTGGCAGGAGAAAATACAAAAAATCAAACTCCTTGAAGGATACCAAATGTTCCAACATCGAAACACACATACATGCAAGCATCACATGCGATAGCATTTAAAATTCTTGGTGCTACACATCTTCCATGCATGACTGCACCACCCCACATGTGTGTGTCCGGAAAAAGGATGAAAGGAGGTGTTATCCTTCATACAGAATTTTTTTCGAATTTATTTTCAAATAAATCTGTGATGAATAAAAATGTCAATTATTTTTCTGTTTTCTCACACCATGATGATTTGGAGCATACCCTCCAAACACCACAAAAGAAAATAAATTTATCATTCTTAAAAATATGGTGGGTGGGAGCAGGCGGGCGGGCATCTGCTGTGCCTCCAATCATGCCTGGTTGAAAATGTATGCGAGGAAAATATTCCATTCAAGGATACTCATCGTTAAACTTAAAGGATCAAATCTAAAAATAAATACAAAACTTGAATACTCAACAATATCCTTCATATAAACATCTTAATCAACATGTTGCATATATGTGTGTGTGCGTGCGCATGTGTGTGTTTGTATGTGTAAATTAAAAATTTAAAAAATATGTGGCTGGTATCACTTAACATGTGAATACAAGAGATGGTTCTCCAGGACAATGGGGTGGAGTGCGAAATTCAAACAAAAATTCTATGCATAGAAGAGCTGTTACAGGTCTTCTATCCATAGAAGAGCTGTTACAGGTCTTCTATCCCTAGAAGAGCTGTTATAGGTCTTCTATCCCTAGAAGAGCTGTTACAGGTCTTCTATCCCTAGAAGAGCTGCTACAGGTCTTCTATTCATAGAAGAGCTGCTACAGGTCTTCTATCCATAGAAAATCTGCTACAGGTCTTCTATCCATAGAAGAGCTGCTACAGGTCTTCTATCCATAGAAGAGCTGCTACAGGTCTTCTATCCATAGAAAAGCTGTTACAGGTCTTCTATCCATAGAACAGCTGCTACAGGTCTTCTATCCATAGAAGAGCTGTTGTTACAGGTCTTCTATCCATAGAAGAACTGTTGTTACAGGTCTTCTATCCATAGAAGAGCTGTTGTTACAGGTCTTCTATCCATAGAAGAGCTGTTGTTACAGGTCTTCTATCCATAGAAGAGCTGTTTCTACAGGTCTTCTATCCATAGAAGAGCTGTTGCTACAGGTCTTCTATCCATAGAAGAGCTGTTGCTACAGGTCTTCTATCCATAGAAGAGCTGTTGCTACAGGTCTTCTATCCATAGAAGAGCTGTTGCTACAGGTCTTCTATCCATAGAAGAGCTGTTACAGGTCTCTTCTATCCATAGAAGAGCTGTTACAAGTCTCTTCTATCCATAGAAGAGTTGTTACAGGTCTCTTCTATCCATATAAGAGCTGCTACAGGTCTTCTATCCATAGATGAGCTGTTACAGGTCTTCTATCCATAGAAGAGCTGCTACAGGTCTTCTATCCATAGAAGAGCTGCTACAGGTCTTCTATCCATAGAAGAGCTGCTACAGGTCTTCTATCCATAGAAGAGCTGCTACAGGTCTTCTATCCATAGAAGAGCTGCTACAGGTCTTCTATCCATAGAAGAGCTGCTACAGGTTTTCTATCCATAGAAGACCTATCAAAGGTCAACTATCCATAAAAGACCTGTAAAAGATCATCTATTCACAGAAGACCTGTCAAAGGACTTCTATCCATAGAAGACCTGTAAAAGGTCTTCTGTCCTTAAAAGACACGTCAAAGGTCTTCTGTCCTTAAAAGGCCCGTCAAAGGTCTTTTATCCATAGAAGACCTGTCAAAGGTCTTCTCTACATAAAAGACCTGTCAAAGGACTTCTATACATAGAAGACGTGTCCAAGGTCTTCTATCCATAGGAGACTTGTCAAATGTCTTCTATCTATCGAAGACCTGTCAAAGGTCTTCTATCTATAGAAGACCTGTCAAAGGTCTTCTATCCATAGAAGACCTGTCAAAAGTCTTCTATCCATAGAAGACCTGCTAAAGGCCTTCTATCCAAAGAAGACTTGTCAGAGGTCATCAATTCACAGAAGACCTGTCAAAGGTCTTGTACCCATAGAAGACCTGCTAAAAGTCTTCCATCCATAGAAGGCCTATCAAAGTTCATCTATCCATAGAAGACCTGTCAAAGGTCATCTATCCATAGAAGACCTGTCAAAGGTCTTCTATCCATAGAAGACCTGTTGATGTTTGCAGGTCTTCTATTCATAGAAGACCTCTTAGGTCTTCTATTCATAGAAGACCTCTTAAAGGTCATCTTACCACAAAAGATCATTTAAACTCCTTCCATCCACAGAAGACCATTTAAAAGTCTTCTGTTCACAGAAGGCCTCGCAAAGGTCCACCCACAAGAGTTCTTCTATCCATGGCAAACCTCTAAAAAGTTTGGTTTTCATAGAAAACCTATTATCGCGAACTGCTATAGAAATAGTAAAAAATGCTACGATCTACCCTATTACAAACAATTTTATATTGCCAAGGAAAACATTTTATGTCGATGTGTGTGTGTGTTTGCTAAGCTGCAGATGATGCCGCTGGCTGAAGCAACACAAAAAGAAATCAATAAACTTTTTTTTAAATATGTGCGTGAGTGTGTGTGTGTGTGAATATGTTATCGTTGACGTTGTTATTTTCAACAAAATAATGAATGAAGAAAATACCAGCAGTGATACTGGTAGCGAGAAGTGAAAATGAACCGGATTTTGTGTATTTTATAGTTGTTCGAGTTTTCCTCGGAGAAAATATTGAAAGAATAATTTTAAGAAAAACTTGTTAGAGCACAAACATATTATGTTATGCAGGTTGGAGTACAACTTAAATGAGGATAAGTGATACATTTCGAAATCAGGAAACATTTGTTAATTTTTTATATTGATGATGAAATACCTACATCCACTAATTATTTTCAGAGAAAAATTAATGAATTCTCGAGAAAAGAGAATATGACAGGGTTATTCATTTCAAATTTGCACCAAAGGCTTTTGATATTTCCATAGGACATTTACAGATATACTCCACTTGGGCTTTAATAGAAAATACAATAATAGCAGTGGAGTTACATATACGAGTATACTTTGCGGTTGTTGAAATATCGAAAATTTGGCGTGCGACTTAAAGCCATATATTCGTGGAAATAATGCGTGGAAGATATGGATTGTTTATCCATGGAACTGTTCAGAAGTTCATATTTCGATAGAAAACTAATATCAACTACATATTTATATCGAGCAGATCTCGTATGGTAAAAAATCGTTACTTACCTTTAATGTTAAAAATGTTTCATAATTACACCTGTAAAGAAAAAAAACTGATATTAAAAACATTCGTACTTAATTATAAAAGATTCGGAACAAAAAAAATCAATTGAAGAATAAAGCTCTTGGGGAAGAGAACATCCCAAAAAAGTGCAATGTAGGTCAAGCTCGGTTGTTTATCTTTTGTCTCAAATTTATGCCTGTAGAAAGTATATATCACAAATGAACAAGTAAGCAAAGGCTACAGTCGTGCGGGGCCGACCATGTGATACCCTACAACACTACAATATGTTAGAAGCACCCTTATGTCCAAGTCCATTTTGGAAGATTTTGCTTTTGAAATTTTGTCATGGAGCACTGCCCAGATATTGCCCTTACTATTTTGACCAGGGATATTTGCGCATTCCATCGTGGTGTTAGTTGTTGTGGTCCATTTTACAGCTAAATATAATACAATGGTCATCCAAAAAGCTAGACTTCTTCTTAGTCTTTAACTCTCTTCTCACACGTGTCGATTGACTTCAATTGTGTGATCAGTAATCTTTTTCTGTTTTGGTTCATTTGAGCCCCTTAATATTTTGCGATCATCTCCAAAAGCAAGAAGCCGTTCTGCATCGACAAATTTAGACCCATCTATACGATTTGCTTGTCTATGATATAAGCCAGAAGTTCGCCTTTTGTGTATTTCGGATATCGCCTGTAAGTAATCTTGGTATTTTTTTTTCACACAAAAGCAGAGGTCCGTTCTACCCACAGTCCTTTGGTTTCTATTTGCGACGTTATAACGGCTGCAAAATCAGGAACATTTTTAGTGGTTGGACCATTTCAACCCCTAAATATATTGCGGTCATCTTTGAAAACAATAGCTATTTTGAGCCTAACCCTAGCCTTGTGAAAATTTTCGTGAAGATCGGACGATAATTGCAATATATATAAAATAACCCCAACCCGTGTTGTAAGGTGAAACAATTTTACAAAATGTACACTTCAATATTGTAAGTCAAATTGAAAAAATCGCATGCGATAAAAATATGAAAAAATAAAAATATGTCACAAAATACTACAAAATCTATAATAACACCATTATTGGCACATTTTTATGCGATTTCTCTAGATTTTATTCTCTTATGCCAAGAGGACATTCTGAATTGACAAAATTTGTCAAAATCGGTCCAGATATTCTTGAGATATAAGCAATTTAGCTAACATTCCCTTCCTTTGTATATATGTATTGTACATATTTCGCTGTATATATCCGATATATTTACTATCGGCATCTACGTAGCGGTCAGTATTGACCTGTTCGTCTCTTTGTGATTTCGCCAGAATTAAAAATATTCGCGGTTTAATGGAAAATTTGATTTTATTTTACACAAGTTTCATGGCCTTTTCACCCACTGAATATTACCCGATTACCATCAAAATTGGAAGACGTCTGGCCAGCCTTAAGCTCTAGCCACATGCTAACTTCCGCGTCGATTGGTCTATAACTGCGACCTGTAGAGCAACTGCAAAATCAGGAAATTTTTCAGTATTTGGTCCATTTCAACCCCTAAATATTATGAGATCATCTCCAAAAGAAATAGGGTTCTATTCTGGCCCAAACCCCACCTCCATTCTAAATTTCGTGAATATCGGTCCATAATTGCGACCTGTAGAGTGATTACAAATTAACATGGACAGACGGACGGACGGACATGCATAGCTAGATCGACTCATCTCGGCGAGATAGGAAGATCCATATATACTTTCCTATGTGGGGAAACCAATATTTCGAGGTGTTACATAATTTTTGGCCCAATCAAACTTATAATACCCCCAACACATAGTGTTGTAGGGTATAAAAATGTGACTCGCTCCATACCCTAAGTCTATTTGGACGAAATTACAAGAAAGTTGAACATTAATATCTAATTTTATGCGAGATCATAAATTCCATATTCATCTCAGGTTTCTCGTTGAGAGGTACTAGAAGAAATGGACCGGTCTAAACCATTTTTATACCCTCCACCATAGTATGGAGGGTATAGTTTTCCATTCCGTTTGTAACACCTCGAAATATACATTTTAGATCCCACAAAGTATATATATTCTTTTTTTTGTTCGAACGTTCCCACGCCTCACATTCCCACCCCTGCCGACCGAGGGGGCGACCTTCCTTTACGGAGGGATCGCGTACACATCATGATCCGCATCATAATGGGAATTCAGTAGGAAATTTAAAACCAGCTACAGAATTTAATTCATCAGCTAGTTTGTCAAATAATAAAACATGTATGTTAATTGTTTAAAAATAAAATTATTCTAGATTTAATAACTTCTAAACTCATACCAAAATCTACATTACAGTACACAGAATTAAAGTCAACACACATTTTACTAAGAGGTTCGCCCATTGAATAATTCGTGCGGTGAAAATCAGTATATAATAATTGGTAGTATCTACTAGATCTAAACGGAACATTAATTCTAATAGATGAAATCAGAAAATCTGAGGGTATATTACCATTTAATATTTTTAGTACAAACATGGAGTTCAACATAATACGTCTGCTTTTAAGTGTAGGCAATCTAATTAATTTTAGCCTGCTAGCATAAGAAGGCAAAACAAAATCACTATTCCAATGTAAACCTCGTAAGGCAAATAGCAGAAATTGTTTTTGCACGGATTCTATTTTATCTGAGTATATTGCATATTGAGGATCCCATACAACAGAACCGTATTCCAATATAGGTCTAACAAGAGACGTAAATAACTGTTTTGTTATATATGGATCAGAAAAATCTTTGGCCCACCGTTTAACAAAACCTAAAACACCATTTGCTTTATTTACCATTGTTATTACATGGCTATTAAAATTTAATTTTGGATCCATCAAGAGGCCAAGATCAACAAATGAATCTACAGTTGATAATGAATGACCGTCAATATTATATTTTAATATCAGAGAAGAAGATCTGGAGAAGCACATATGCTTACATTTGCTTAAATTTAACTCCATACAATTTAACGTGCACCATTTAAAAAGGCTATCTAAATCGTTTTGAAGTAAACTCGCTCGTTTATCACAATTATGGGAAATGAATAATTTAACATCATCTGCGTACATTAACAATTTCGAGTAATTTATGGAATTAGGTAAATCGTTGATAAATAAAAGAAAGAGGACCGGTCCAAGGTGACTTCCTTGCGGAACACCCGATGGAACGTTAATCGTTTTGGATAGATACCCTTCAAACAAAACTAGTTGTGATCTATTTTGTAAGTAAGATGATATCCATTTGACTAAGTTTGTGTTGAAACCCATATAATTTAATTTATATATTAGGAGTTCATGGTTAACCCTATCAAAAGCTTTACTAATATCGGTATAAATTGTATCAGTTTGTTTACGCTGAACAAATCCTTTTATTACTGTTGACGTAAATTCTATAAAATTTGTTGTAGTTGAAAGACCACTACGAAAACCATGCTGATATGGACTCAATATAGATTGAATTTTCTGTGAAATTACTGCAGTAATTAATTTTTCAAACAATTTTGGTATGGCACTTAATTTTGCAATTCCTCTATAATTTGACACATTAGTAAGACTACCAGACTTATGTAAAGGTATAATATACGATTTTTTCCAAAAAGTAGGAAAGTGACCAAATTTAAGTGAATAATTAAACAATATAGTTAACGGAAGTGCTAATGTTTCTGAACAATATTTAAGAATTATATTAGGTATGCCATCCGGTCCTGGACATTTAATCGATTTTAAACTACGCAGACTATTGGACACATCATGACGTTGTAGAAAAGGCATACAAATTTGATCAGCCTGTGATAACTTATAAGGATACGAATCTTTAATTTGGCAAGATGTACTGGAATAGGTTGTGGCAAAAAAATCTGCGAAACATTCAGCAATATCTGTGCCTGTGACAAATTCTTTATTGTTATATTTCAATACTGAGGGCTTTGAAGAAACTTTTCGTTTTAGATTAACAAAATCATAAAAAGATTTAGGAATGGATTTAACATTATTTTTAATCTTGTCTAGGTAAAGATTATACAATCGTCGAGACTCTAAAGTATATTTAGATCTAGCAACAGAGTAATTAGTATAGTCTATTGTTATGCCTGATTTTTTATATTTACGAAAAAGCTTATTTTTAGAATTTTTTAAACTTGATAACTCAGGGGTTATCCATGGATATTTATTTGAATTTTTAACTCTAGTGGTTGGAACACATTCCAGTTTAAATCTATTTAAAATATCATAAAATTTATCAATTACATATTCTAAATCTGTATGGCTGTTACACAGGCACACAGAAGCCCAATTTATGGAGGAAATGAGAGTATTAAGTTTTCGAAAATTAGTTTTTTTGTAATTAAGGACAGTTTTAAATGAGTCGGACTGACTTTCTTCAATTACATAACTGTGAGTCATGGAGATATATAAAGTTGGATGGTATATATCTTCAGGAGTGCATATTGGAGGAATTCTGAATATATCAAAATGCTGTGTTATATTTACAAACGCCAAATCAAGAATTTTGCCATGCGAATTTTTTACACTGTTTATTTGATAAAGATTTAAGTCACACAAACTATTTACAACATCAAATGTATACTGGGTACAGTTCATTTCAGATGGCAAAGGAATCAAAGCTTCAGAATCTGGCATTGGAAGCCATTTAATGGAGGGCATATTAAAATCACCAAGGATCAGAATGCGATCGGAATCTTTCATTTTTTCAGCAATTAAATTTATTTCTGATAAATGCTGATTATAAATGTCAAGTGAAGATGAGGGGGGAATATAAGAGCAAGTTACAAACAATTTAGATTTGCCCAATTCAATGGAAACACAAACAAATTCTATATCAAGAAAATCATTTAGATCAATTAAATTAGTGGTATATTTGGTATCAACTGCAATAAGGACGCCACCACCTTTTTTACAAACACGATCTTTTCTAAATATTTGATATTTTGAACATAATATTTCACTATTTAATATAGATGTTTTTAACCAAGTTTCG